AGGTTAGGGGGGTAGGGGGTTTAGGGTTGGGAGTTGGGGATTATGGCTAGACTTTGGGGTTAGGGTTGAGGTTAGAGTTTGGATTTGAGTTAGATTTGGGGTTAGGGTTAGGGTTAGGGTTGAGGTTAGGGTTGTTGGGGTTGGGGGTAGGGGGTTAGGGTTTGGAGTTAGGGGTTAGGGTTGAGGTTAGGGATAGGGTTGGGGGTTGGAGGTTAGGGTTAGGGTTGGGGGTTGGGGGTTAGGATTGAGAGTTGGGGATTAGGGCTAGGGTTCGGGGTTAGGGTTGAGGTTAGAGTTTGGATTTGAGTTAGGTTTGGGGTAGGGTTAGGGTTTGGGGTTTGTGGTTAGGGCCAGAGTTTCGGCTGGGGTTTGGGTTGGGGTTAGGAAGGGGGCACAGCAGCTGCCCAGGCCGATAGGCACCCGGTATCTCCGATGCTGCTGGCATCCGCGGGTGCAGAGTTTGGGTGGGGCCCGAACAGGTTTCAGCACCAGCTCTGCTAATCAGGTCACCGTGGGAAAAGGGAAGGCATCCCTTTGATTTCAGCACCTATTGTGGATGATGTCATGGCTCCCTCCCTCCCTCCCTTCCCCCCCCCCATTTCTCTTCCCTCTATCACCAGTCGCAACATGTCCCTGGGGTGGAGGAGAAGCCAGGAAAGGGAGAGAAAAAGAGCCAGGCCCATCTGCACTTTCCCCCTTCGCTTCCCTTAACCGGCAAAAAACACAACCCACCTACAGGCAATCCTCGAGTTACAACCATTCGTTTAGTGACCGTTCGAAGTGACAATGGCATTGAAAAAAGGGACTTTTCACACTTACGACCGTTGTAACATCTCTACGGTCACATGATCACCCTTTGGACCCTTGGCAACTGATTCATATTTATGACGGTCGTAGTCTCACAGGCAGAGGTGGTATTCAGCCGGTTTGGACCGATTCAGCCCACCCACCTGCTCCGGCGTAAAGACCTCCTATTTAGCCACGTTTTCGAGGCCTGCGCGGAAGGCGTGCGCACGAGCAAAGCGCATGCGCGGAAGACCGGGTACGCGCACGGAAGGTGCGCGTGCAAAGTGAGTGTGCGCGCATGAGGCGAACCGGTGGTAAGGATATATTCAGGGTTGGGATTCAGCCGGTTCGTACCAGTTTGGGTGAAGTGGATGCTAATTTTACATCTTGTTCGCCGAACCGGTAGTTGCAAGGACTGGCTGGCCCCACCCACCCTGCCCCGCCCCTCTCAGGAGTCTCCATGCGGCCCATTTTGTATGTGAGGTAAATGTAGGGCCCGCATGGAGGCTCTGGGAGGGGGAAATTGGGCCTACCAGAAGTACTGGAAGTCTGGAAATGGGCCCATTTCCGGCCTCTGGAGGGCCTCCGGAGCCTGGGGAGGCTGTTTTCGCGTTCCCGGAGGCTTGAGGAAAGTCTCTGGAGCCTGGGGAGGGCAAAAACTACCCCCCCTGCCGCTGTGGTGCAAGAGGCTGAGTAGGCCACGCCCCCATGGCCACGCCCACCCAGCAACCAGGCAGAAAACCTGTTGCTAATTTTTTTTCAATCCCACCCCTGGATATATGAAACCCACCGCTGGTCCCAGGATCATGTGATTCCCTTTTGCGACCTTCTGACAAGCAAAGTCCTTGGGGAAGAAGCCAGATTCGCTTAAAGACGGTGGCAAGGAAGGTCATAAAATGCGGCAAAAGTACAAGGACTGGTCATATAAGTTGCTTTTTTAGTCCCAGCGGAACTTGGAATTGTCACTAAATGAACGGTCGTAAGTCCAGGACCAACTGTTCCCCTTTTATTCCTTAAAATAAGCCTTCGTTTTTACTCCGCTGAAAATCTTGGTCAGCTTCCACGTTTCTCTGACTCCTTGAAGAAGTGAGTGAGGCCTCGTCCTGCACAAGTTTTTGGCCAAAGCAGAAAAGAAATCTTGGCGTTTTGTGCTCATTTTTCACGGCGTGGTGTTTTCGAGCTATTCCTTCCCAACTTTTGCACCGAAAGCAAGCGGAGGAAGTAGCCGATAAATATTTAAAAGAAAGGGTGAAAAAATACTAGCAGGAATGATCCTTGCGAGTTGCAGCCTATTCGGTTGTGCTAAAAAAAAAAGAGAGAGAAGCTGTGACCCTGGGTGGCACACGTATGAATTGGGCGTGGAGGCTAAAACCTGAAGGATGAGTAGTAACAACTCGCCCTAAATAGGCTGCCCTGCACGTCCCGTAAATAGGATAGTAAATTTATCAACGGTGGAAGTCAAAGGAAGAGAGAGACATCCTGTGGGATGCTGCCCGGAAATGCTTGCATCTTGCTTAGCTTCTAGTCTAGTGTTTTAGTTTAGTTTAGTTTAGTTTAGTTTAGTTTAGTTTAGTTTAGTTTATTTATTTTATTTATTTTTATTTATTTTATTAAATTTGTATACCGCCCTACTCCCTAAGGACTCAGGGCGGTGAACAGCCATAAAATAAAACATGTAGATACAAAATTTAAAATAAAGATAAAACTAATTAAATAAATTTGGCTGAGACATTTTAAAACCCCAATAAATTAAAACCAAATTTAAAATTCCATTTAAAAGAGGAAAAGTTTAGGTCAGGCCAGCTTGATGGAATAAAAACGTCTTAAGTGCGCGACGGAAGGTACGCAGATCCGGAATCCTCCGTATCTCCGGGGGGAGCTCGTTCCAGATCGTAGGTGCCCCCACAGAGAAGGCTCTCCCCCTGGGGGCCGCCAGTCGACATTGTTTGGCCGACGGCACCCGGAGGAGCCCCTCTCTATGGGAGCATACTGGTCGGTGGGAGGCTATTGGTGGCAGCAGGCGGTCCCGTAAATAGCCAGGTCCTAAGCCATGGAGCGCTTTGAAGGTGATAACCAAGACCTTGAAGTGCACTCGGAAGACCACCGGGAGCCAGTGCAGCTCGCGCAGGAGAGGCGTTACATGGGAGCGCCACGTTGCTCCCATCACCACCCGCGCGGCCGCACTCTGCGCCAGTTGGAGCCTCCGAGTGCTCCTCAAGGGGAGCCCCATGTAGAGAGCGTTACAATAGTCCAGACGGGAGGTGACGAGGGCATGAGTGACCGTGCGTAACGAGTCCCGATCCAGAAAGGGACGCAACTGGCGAATCAGGCGAACCTGATGAAAAATCCTCCCGGTCACGGCCGTCAAGTGCTCTTCTAAAGACAGCCGTGAATCCAGGAGGACACCCAAGTTGCGAACCCTCTCCGTGGGGGCCAATGCTTCGCCCCCAATAGTCAGCGATGGCACCAGCTGACTATATCGGGACGTCGGAAACCACAGCCACTCGGTCTTGGATGGGTTGAGCCTGAGCCTGTTCCTCCCCATCCAGATCCGTACAGCCTCCAGGCACTGGGACATCACTTTAAGGGCACTTCAAGGGCATCGTTGGGGTGGTCTGTGGTGGAGATGTTTAGTTTAGTTTAGTTTAGTTTAGTTTAGTTTTAGTTTATTTTGGATTTATATACCGCCCTACTCCTGAAGGACTCAGGGCGGTGAACAGCCAAAGATGAAACACATATAATATAAAATTAAAAAAAACAATTTAAAACACATAAAATAAATTTGGCCCATACTGATTAAAACCCCGTTTTTTAAAAAACCAATTAAAATTAACAATTAAAAGGAAGTTAGGCCAGGCCAGCCTGTTGGAATAAAAAGGTTTTGAGGGCACGGTGGAAAGTGCGTCATAGTGTTGTGTGTGTGATTGTGCCTTCTGTAAGGGTTGCGGTCGTGCTTGTTCTGAGGTCGTCGCATACAACTGGGGGTGACTCGGTCCAGGTTCGGAGCCTGGATCACCGGCCCCTTGTGGGGTAATGCCAGAAATGGGTTCCTTTACTACCTTTACTACTGGTTCGCAGTGGGATCGTGCGAACCGTGTGAAGCTTGGTTCCCAGCAGCAATGATGACGTCATGCCGGGTGGGCGGAGCCTCCCGCCGGTTTTACTACTGGTTCTATAGAAACAGACAGAACCAGGAGCAACCCACCACTGGGTACCTGCAACGTCTGGGGATGGGATGGGGTCGGAGAAGAGACGGCGGAGCCCTCGGCTGCATAACGGGATGGAATGAGAGTCAGAAGTAAGGGATGCTCCTGAGCCTCCCAAGGCTGCAAAACAGACGGTGGGAGATTTGTACTTTCCGATTTGCCTTACAATAAAGTGGGATTGGTGTATCTGGTTGTGTTTCCTGTCTGGTCTAGTCAGGCTGACAAGAAGTCTTCCAGTGTAACATGTGTTGCCCAGTATTTCCCTTCTTTGAAATACGGAGTCCCTTTCCTTTCCCCTTTCCCCTCTCATTTCCCCCTCCCTTCCTTTCCCTAGATGACAGGGGGTTGGAATAGATGACCTCCAAGGTCCCTTCCAACTCTATTACTGTTACCTCTCCTCCATTCTCTTCTCTTCCCTTCCCTTCCCTTCCTTCCCCTCTCCCTTCTCTCCCCTTCCTTCCCCTCTCCTCCCTTCCACCTCTCCTCCCTTCCCTTCTATCTCCCTTTTCCTTCCTTCCCTCCCATCTCCTCCCTTCCCTTCCCCTCTCCTCCCTTCCCTTCTCCTTTCACTTCTCTCCCTCCCTTCCCTTCCCCTCCTCCCTTCCCTTCCCTCCCTTCCCTCCCTTCCCTTCCCCTCTCCTCCCTTCCCTTCTATCTCCCTTTTCCTTCCCTTCCCTCCCATCTCCTCCCTTCCCCTCTCCTCCCTTCCCTTCTCCTTTCACTTCTCTCCCTCCCTTCCCTTCCCCTCCTCCCTTCCCTTCCCTCCCTTCCCTCCCTTCCCTTCACCTCTCCTCCCTTCCCTTCTATCTCCCTTTTCCTTCCCTTCCCTCCCATCTCCTCCCTTCCCTTCCCCTCCTCCCTTCCCTTCCCTCCATTCCTCTCTCCTCTCCTCCCTTTCCTTCCCTTCTCCTTTCCCTTCCCTTTCCTCTGAGCTAACCGTCTAAGGCCAGCAAGTCCCATGTTTTGCTTCCTTTTCCGTCCTGACCTTCTCTTGCTCTTTCCCCACAGGCTCAACGAGCCCCTTCCCAGGGGAGTGAGGATCAAAGGGGACACCTTGCTCTTCCAGAGACCCCTCAAAACTGGAGACAAAGGGATTTACGTCTGCCGAGTCTCCAACAGCTTTGCAGCCAAGGAAGTGAGGGCTGCGGTGGGCATCAAAGGTAGGTTCAGAGGCCAACATCTGGAATTGTCCACGGGCCTTCCTATCTTGCACGGTTCCCAATCTCTGAGAAAATCTGGCATGAGTAGGGACAGCTCCTGTTTGCACTGTCCCAGTAACAACCGGATCAAGAATGTTTGAAACGGGCAGAGGTACAATTGGCCCCATTAAAATCACTCTTCCTTCCCTGCTTGAACTCCTCTGCCTTTCAGGCCTGCTTAAGGCGTTTGAGAGTCATGTTAGTTAGAAACATAGATTCATAAGGTTGGAGGGGATCTTAGAGGTCTTCTAGTCCAGCCTCGGGACACGGGTGGCTCAGTGGCTAAGACACTGAGCTTGTCGATCGAGAGGTTGGCAGTTCAGCGAATCCCTAGTGCAGTGATGGCTAACTTTTTTGCCGTTGTGTGCCAAAAGCGGGAGTAGTGGGGGGGATTGTGCGTGCGCGTGCCCACACCCATAATTCAATGTGCCCCCCCCCCCCCCCGCATGAGTGTGTGCCCCCCCCACTCTCCCCCCTGCTTTTGGCACGCGATGGCACACTGGGCCCGGTAGGCCCATTTTTTTGTCCTCTCCAGGGTCCAGAGCCTTTCTAGGAACCTGGGGAGGGCGAAAACAGCCTTCCCCACTCCCCCGGAGGCCCTCCGGAAGCCCAGAAACAGCCCGTTTCCCGACTTCCGTTGGGCCAGGAAGGCCCGAAAATCAGCTGGCCAGCGCGCACATGCGTGCTGGACTGAGGTAGGGCAACGCTAGCGTGCCCACAGATATGGCTCCGTGTGCCACCTGTGGCACCCGTGCCATAGGTTCACCATCACGGCCCTAGTGTAATCCGCGTAACGGGGTGAGCTTCCGTTACTTGTCCCAGCTTCTGCCAACCTAGCAGTTCGAAAGCAGGTAAAAAATGCCAGTAGAAAAATAGGGACCCCCTTTGGTGGGAAGGTAAGAGCGTTCCGTGCGCCTTTGGCGTTGATTCATGCCGGCCACATGACCACGGAGACGTCTTCGGACAGCGCTGGCTCCTCGGCTTTGAAACGGAGACGAGCACCGCCCCCTTAGAGTCGGGAACGACTAGCTAAACTGGCTGGAGAATTCTGGGAATTAAAGTCCACAAGTCTTAAAGCCGCCAAGTTTGAAAACCTCTGATCTATCGCAAGGGAAAAGTCTTCGGTTTAAAAGAGCCCGCAGTTTTTGCAGAAATGCTGGACTTTGCAAGGATGTTTAAAAGTTCCTTGTCTGGCTTGTGTGTTTTTAAAAATAAATACAGATATCCTACCTGACGTTTCATTTAATGGCTATTCGACCGACACTGAAAAAAAGTGACGTAATGCCCATTTTTTTCACACTTATGGCCGTTTCAGCTTCCCCATGGTTGTGTGGTCAAAATTCAGATGCTTGGCAACTGACTCACATTTATGACAGTCCTGGGGTCACGTGATTCCCCGTTTGCGACCTTCTGACTAGCAAAGTCAACGGGGAAACCAGATTCACTTAACAACCGTGTGACTCACTTAACAACTGCAGTTTTTCACTTAACAACCGTGGCAAGAAAAGTCGTAAAAATGGAGCAAAACTCACTTAACAAATGTCTCACTTAGCAACATAAATTTTGGGCTCAATTGTGGTTGTAAGATGAGGACTATCTGTATAATCCACACTTCTGTGCCACATTTATATTTTTGCCATTTATTAAAGCAATTCTCAGAAAAATATAAAGACTAGAAACTGGGAGACCCTGAATTTTAGTCCCACCCGGCATGATGCTAGCTGAGTGACCTTGGGCCAGTCGTTTTCTCTCAGCCCCAGGGAGGAGACAATGGCTAATCACTGCTGGAAAACTTTGTCAAGAAAACTGCAGGGACTTGTCCAGGTGGTGTCTGAGAAGAGAGAGGGAGGGAGAGAGAGAGGGAGGGAGAGAAAGAGAAAGAGAAAGAAAGAGAAAGAGTGAGTGAGAGAGAGAGAGAGAAAGAAAGAGAGAGAGAGAGAGAAAGAGAGAGAGAGAGGGAGGGAGAGAGACAGGGAGAGAAAGATGGAGAGAAAAGAGAGAGAAAAAAGAAAGAAAGAAAGAAAGAGAGAGGGGGGAGAGAGGGAGAGAGAGAGAGAGAGAGAGAGAGAAAGAAAGAAAGAAAGAAAGAAAGAAAGAAAGAAAGAAAGAGACGGAGAGACAGGGAGAAAAAGAGAGAGAGAAAGAGAAAGAAAGAGAGAGGGAGAGAAAGAGAGAGGGAAGAGAGGGAGGGGGAGAGGGAGACAGAGAGACAGGGAGAGAAAGAGAGACAGAGAGAAAGAGAGAGAGGGAATGGGAGAGGAAAAAAGAGAGAGACAGAGAGAGGGAGAGGGAGAGGGAGAGAAAGGGGGAGAGAAAGAGAGAGAGAAAAACAAAGAGAAAGAAAGAGAGAGGGGGGAGAGAGAGAGAGAAAGAGAAAGAAAGAAAAAGAAACAAAGAAAGAGAGGGAGAAAAAGAGAGCGAGAGAGGGAGGGAGGGAGAGAGAGGGGGAGAGAAAGGGAAAGAGGGAGAGAGAGAGAGACAGGGAGAGAAAGAGAGATGGAGAGAGTGAGAGAGGGAATGGGAGAGGAAAAAAGAGAGACAGGGAGAGAGAGAGGGAGAGGGAGAGGGAGAGAAAAAGAGACGGAGAGAAAGAGAGGGAGAAAGAGAGGGGGAGAGAAAGAGAGAGAGAGAGAGAGAGAGAAACAAAGAGAGAGATCTCAGAAACTGAATTAAATATATATATTTAATTCCATTCAACTATGTCCAGTATATATATATATATATCTTGGCCCTTCAGAACAGACAGGTGTGATTCCCAGTTCTTCTAAGCTTGAAATGTCCTGCGGCTGTGACCTCCCTGCCTACCTGTGTGTGTGTGTCTCACCTGCAGGACTCCCAGAGACGCAGGTGGACGTGGTCTCCATCTCCATGATCGGGGTGGGCATCATTTCAGTGGTCTTGCTCTGCCTTCTGATCCTGGTGATCATCCTCATGACTTGCTACCACAAGCGGAAAACCAGGCGCATCACCAAAAAATAGTAAGCAACGGTCGCGTGGAACGCCAGTGTTGATTTCCTCTCCTCTCGTGATCGACCTCGTCTTACGAGAAGGTCGTGAGAACCGGTCTGCCTGATCCTTCGGTTGTTCAGGGTTCCGAGTCACGCACCCCTTGAAATCAGAACTCCGAGGCAGATGGATTCCTCAAAGAATAAATTATTTGGATACATCGTGTTGGCACAACGGGTGAAAACCGACTCTGAAAGTTCCCGCAGTTTTCACCAGATTAAAAGTGAAAGTTTCCCCCAAGTCACATCGTCCAATCGAGGTGCTCGACGGTTGCTTGGTTACTTCACTCCTCCTCTCCCCAGCCACCTGTTGGGATGACCTTGGTTCCCACGAGAAAACGTTTTGCTTTGACTGCAAAACCCCAGCTAACTATTCCCCCCTCCCTGTCCCCTCTTCTGCCTCGTGACAACCCTGAAGCCTCCAAGATGGCCTCAGTCAGGTCCGCTTCAGGGTTGACATTGGACATCGTCCTTGAGTTGAAGCTGCTCAGAGGCCCTTGGGCGGGTGAAGGAGATCAAGGGTGGGGTGAAACAAGACAGGGAAAAAGAATGGATTTATATTTAGAAATGGCAGAAGATTTAGATAAGGGACGCAGTGGCTCAGTGGCTTAGACGCTGAGCTTGTCGATCGAAAGGTCGGCAGTTCAGCAGTTCGAATCCCTAGTGCCGCGTAACGGGGTGAGCTCCCGTGACTTGTCCCAGCTTCTGCCAACCTAGCAGTTCGAAAGCAGGTAAAAAATGCAAGTAGAAAAATAGGGACCCCCTTTGGTGGGAAGGGAACAGCGTTTTCTGTGCGCCTTTGGCGTTGAATCATGCTGGCCACATGACCACGGAGACGTCTTCAGACAGCGCTGGCTCTTCGGCTTTGAAACGGGGATGAGCACCGCCCCCTAGAGTCAGGAATGACTAGCACATAGGTGCGAGGGGAACCTTTACCTTATGGCAGAAGAGATAGTACCACTTGCCAATAGTTTCTGACTGTAGGACAACGTTTGTCAACTTTGGGCGCTTGGAGATGGGTGGACTTCAACTCACAGAATTCCCCACCCAGCCATGCCAGGGAATTCTGGAAGTCGAAGTCCACCCATCTTCAAATCACCAAGGTTGAGAAATACTCTTCCAGGAATTCTGGAATTTGAAGTCCACCCATCCATGAAGTGGAGTCACATTGGGAGTTGACGTCCGCCCATTTTCAAGTCGTGGACTTCAACTCCACATTGTGGAGAGGCTAGCCAACTCCTTCTTCTGGAGACAGAACCACGGAACTGAGTCAACGGTTGGGCGGAGAGGCATTTTCGCCAAGCTCCCACCCTCAGTTCCCCTTCTCCTTCTCCTTCTCCTTGGCAGTGAGGAAGAACTGACTTTGACCCGGGAAAATTCGATCCGGCGCCTGCATTCGAGCCACAGCACGGAAACCCGGCATCAGGTAAAAACCTGAGGTGTGATGGAACATGGAAGGTTGGATTGTGAGTTGTGGAGGAAAGTTCATTGCCTTCTGGATAGATTCCTGACTGGCTGAAGGACATAGAATCATAGGGTTGGAAGCGACCTTGGAAGTCTTCTACTCCAGGGATCTCCAACCTTGGCAACTTTAAGACTTGTGGACTTCAACTCCCAGAGTTCAAAGCTGGCTGAGGAACTCTGGGAATTGAAGTCCACAAGTCTTAAAGTTGCCAAGGTTGGAGACCCCTGGACTAGTCCAACCCCATGCTCAAACAGGAGACCCTGTACCAGTGATGGCAAAACTTTTAGGCACAGAGTGCCCAAATTGGAAGGCGCAAATGCGCACCAGACCACTGGAATCCCAACAACCAGCTGGCTGAGCTGGGGCGACGGTGCACGTGCCCACAGAGAGCCCCCCTGTGAGCCACCTCGTCCACCATCATGGTCCTAGACCAGTGATGCCTAACCTTTTTGGCGTCGCGTGCCAAAAACGGGCGGAAATGCAGGGGAGTCATTTGCGCGCATGCCCACACCCATAATTCAATGCCCCCCATGCCACGCCCCCCACATATGCACGTGCGCCCCCTGGCGCCCTCCCACTTTTGCCATGCAACAGCAAAAAGTTTACCGGTGGGCCCAGTAAGCCCATTTTTGGCCCTCCCCAGGCTCCAGAGGCTTTTTTGGTGAAAACGGCCTTCCCCACTCCCATGGAGGCCCTCCGGAGGCCGGAAACGGCCCATTTCCCGAATTCCAGTGGGCTCGGAAGGTCTGTTTTTTGCCCTCCCCAGGCTCCAGAGGCCTTCTTGGAACCTGGGGAGGTTGAAAACGGCCTTCCCCTCCCCTCCGGAGGGCGGAAACAGCTTGTTTCTCGACTTCCGGTGGGCCTGGAAGGCCTGAAAATCAGCTGGCCCGGCATACACATGCACGCTGGAGCTGAGCCAGGGCAACGTTTGCGTGCCCACAGATATGGCTCCGCGGTCCTATACCATTCTGGAAAAATGGTTGTCCAATCTCTTCTTTTAAAACTTCCAGGGATGGAGCCCCCACAATTTTTAGAAGCAAGCTACTCCACTGATTAACAGAATTCCAGAATAACAGAGTTGAACAGGACCTTAGAGGTCTTCTAGTCCAACCCCCTGCTCTCGTAGGAGACCCTCTACCAGACAAATAGATTTCCAGCTTCTTCTTAAAAGCCTCCAGCGATGGAGCACCCATAACCTCTGGTGGCAAGGTGTTCCACTGGTTAATTGCTCTAAACTGTCCGGAAATTTCATCCAGGTGGATTTTCATGGAGAAGTTGTGACTAACAAGAAGGGCATCGTTGATGGTATCACTGTCCTAAGAGCCACACCAGTGAAATGCCATTTCTGGCCAGGGAGGGGCCATTTAGCTATTACAGCTCTAACTCTTAGCTCAACCTAGGAAGGAACCTTTCTTCTTCTTATTTTTTTTAAAAAATTTTTACATCCTGCCCTCCTTTTCACATACGAAGTTCTGGCTCTATTCCGATTGATGGATTAAGTCCTCCAGCGCTCCCTAGTGGACGCACGTGGGAAAAACATGCATCTAGAACGCATTTCGAGGAATTTTCTGCTGAGAAAACATCGCAAATCCATCTTAAAGAAGAATCTGCGAGCTCCAGGCCGTGGGAAAGGAGTGAGAACCTACCCTAAATTACTGTTCTGACCTAGGCTTCCCCAGCAGCACGAAGCCGAGTCCTCATGCCGACAAACCCCTTTTATTTAATTTACAGTGAATTCTTCTCCAGCAAAGTCTTTCCTCTCTCACTGTCTTTCAAGATAGTTCACAATTACCGACCTTTATCAGGCTTGGAGAGTGGCCAGGCCGATATCTTTCAGACACCAAGAATGCAGGAATGAACTAATTGTCTCCTGCAAACTCCTCTCCCTTTTTGCTCCTCTTTTATTCCCCCTGGGAGGGGCCGTTCATCGTCCACCTGTGGCTTTCCTCCTGAGTCGCCCCTTGTTCTTTAGCTGTTCCCTTCGTCTGGCAACTCTGCGCATGCGCACCCTGGGAACAGGCTCCAGTTGTTCTTCTGCCCCACTGATGCCCAAAGGCAGCTGATAACTGGCATCCGGCCATGACCCCCCTCTCTGCCTCCGACGCAGAGCCCTCATCAGAGCCCTCCCCAGACTCCAAGACTGGCCCAGGCTCCTCCCTAACCTCCTCACTGTCCAAATCTGCTGCCAGATCTGCTGGCGGGCCGCAACAATTAAGACAAACAGCTGAGCAAAAGGGAAAGCGTGAGGTTCAATTCTCACTTGTAGGGCTAACTCCGACATGGGGAGCTGAGATGGAGAAACTGGGGTTCTCATGCCTTGTGCATCTCCTTTTCTCAGTACGTCGGAAGCCCTTAAGGACGTTCGTTGAACGTAGGGCTGGTTTGATCTGAGGGTTTTGGGGAGACACCCCGGAAAAAAGGAGAGGCCAGAATGAAAAGTCGAAAGACGATTCTGGCCACCCATCAGGTTCTCACAACACTGGGTGGCAGGCTAACTGTACATTCGAAACCTACAAAGATGCCATCCAAAACAGTATTTCAAGTGTAGAACTTGGAAAAAGCTTCTTGGGTGAGAAGCGAAACGTTTCCAAAGGAAAAAAAAAACCCAAAATCCAGTTGCCTTTTGAAAAAGCCCCTGTGGGAGAAACTGGCATAATTAAGTCTACATTGATTAGTATTGTGGGAAAGGACTTCATAACAACATGGCATCTCTTATTTTTGAGAGAGAGAGAGAGAGAGAGAGAGAGAGAGAGAGAGAGGGTAGACATAATAGCATATTTCAATATAGGAGGAGCTGCCACAAAGAAGAGGGAGTCAAACTAATCTCCAAAGCACCCGAAGGCAGGACAAGAAACAACGGATGGAAACTAACCAAGGAGAGAAGCAACCTGGAATTAAGGAGAAACTCCCTAACAGGGAGGACAATTAACCAGTGGAACAGCTTGCCACCAGAAGTTGTGGGTGCTCCAGTTGTGGAGGGTTTGAAGAAGAGACTGGACAGCCACTTGTCCCAAATTGTATAGGGCCGTGATGGCGAACCTATGGCACGTGTGCCACAGGCGGCATGCAGAGCCATGTTGCCTGGCACGCCAGCTCAGCTCCATCAGCTGATTTTCGGCCCTTTTGGGCCCACCAGAAGAGAGCCTGGGGGGGGGGAAGGCCCATTTTTTCTTTCTCTCTGTGGGCGTGGCTTGGTGGGGGGGTAATGTGACTGGGTGGGCGTGGCCTATTTTTTTAAAAAAACTTTTCAAAGCATTTTTTCTGCAAATGCAAAAAAATGCTTTGAAAAGCCTCTGCCAATCAGGCAACTCAGCTGGGATCGTCAGAGCCTTTTCAAAGCATTTTTTAAACCACCTCTTCCTCTGAAGAGGTTGCAGAAAAAAATGCTTTAAAAGTCTCTCTGACGATCCCAGCTGAGTTGTCTGATCGTCAGATATTTTTTTAAAAGCCTAACTGAAGATCAGGCAAGAGGCTTTTTTTCCCTTTAAAAACATTTTTTCTATAACCTCTTCGGCCAAAGAGGTTGTAGAAAAAATGCTTTTAAAACCCTCTGACGATCCCAGCTGAGCCGCGCGATCATCAGAGGCTTTTTTTTTTTTTTACTTTTAAAAGCATTTTTTCAGTGGAAGAAGTTGTAGAAAAAATGCTTTTAAAAGTTAAAAAAAAAAAGCCTCTGATGATCGTGTGGCTCAGCTGGGCATGGTGGAGAGGGGGGGCGCAGGGATTTTTGCTACCAGTTCTCCGAACCACCCACCGTCATCGCTACCGGATCGGACGATCCGGTCTGAACCGGGAGCATTTCACCCCTGCTCCACCCCCTGCACATGCGCAGCAGAGACCCGAAGACCAGCTGGCCGGCAGGAGGCAGACGGACATGCGCAGCAGAGCTGAACTAGGGCAACGGCTTGGGTGCCATCCGAGAGGGCTCTGTACACTCTGGCACACTTGCCATAGGTTCGCCATCATGGCCCTACACCGTTTCTGACAGATGGCATTCCAGTCTCTTCTCAGCGTTCCAAATTATGCTCTCCTCCAGCGCTGACATGAATGAAATGAACGAAAGCGGGAGAAGCTTTGCTTTAATGCTGAGATGAACTTTTACCTAGTTCCCTGCTCTTCAGTAGATAGCGTTACCTGGGAGACAGAGGGAGGGGGGAAATTCCTGTGAAAAGAAAGTGCTTGGGACGGAGAGATGGATCTGCATGATGGCCAATGAGTGTCAGGGCATTGATTAATCCCATGTTTGGCTCTGGGAAAAATCACCTTGGTTTAGAGGAGATGGATCGTGGCTCCTCCTTGTTTGCAATATTCTGAAAAGAAATGCGAAGAAAAGTTTCTAATAAAACTCATTTATTTGTTATAAAGAAAATAAAACACCTCACTAACTAAGAAAGTTAATTGCTACATTTTGAAAAGTAATTCGGGCCGGCTGCTTTCCAGCAGTCGACACCCCCGTGGCATGAGAACAAAGGGAAGAGTGTGTGAAGCAAGTGAAGGAATGCAGACATGCGTAGTAGAATACTGATAAGGAACTTGGCAAACTACAGTAAGTCTATTAGTCCAAAAATAATGAAACTCAGCTGGGAAATAAAAAACGCAGTGACAATGAGACATGGGGGTTGAAGAACGGAAAGGGAGGGGTTTGGAAGGAGGTGCCAATCTTGGCTGCATCAGAGTTCAGGCATGTCGTTCTTTCTATTCTTAAATAAAAAAAAAAGATTCATCAGAGACCTTGCATTTGAGAATGAAGTTTGTTTAAGATAGCAACGAAACCTGACATCTCTCCTTGAAAGCTTCCAAGGACGAAGCTCCCGCAACCTCTGAAGGGAGCTCCTCTCCGTTGTCTCTTTCTCTCTCTCTCTGCCCTTCAGATCGAAGAAAACCTTCCGCTGAGGTCGGAGAGCCGGCAAGGGAGTTTCCGCGGGGACAGCCTGTGCCGGGAAAGCCTCCGAGCGGATAGCCTCTGCCGGGACAGCAGGCAGGGCAGCTTCCGCACAGACAGCTTCCGGGAAACCAGCCTCTGCTCGGTGATGGTGAGTGGAGTCAAGGAAGGAAGCAGCCTCGGGGTTCTCCGGGTTGCTCAGCTTTGCAAGGCTGACAGGTTCTTCTAGCGTTCTCCCATTTTCATTTGGGTATTTTTTTTAAAAAATGTTGGATTAATTATGCTGACAAATGCATACGTATATTAACTCATCAAATATGGTTGTAGTGTTATTTATCCTTTTATTACCTATTTCCTTCCTCTACTGGTTGCACATCATTATTATGATCTCTTTTTGTCATTAAACACGAAACTCATTTTTTATTGTTTTATAATAATAATACTTATACTTACTTTATTCATTAATACTTACTTTATTCATAAATACTTACTGTATTCATAAATATTTTATTCATTAATACATTAATACTTTATTCATAAATACTTACTTTATTCATTAATTATTATTAACTTTTATTCATTAAACATGAAACTCAGTCAACTGAACATTCAAAAATGCATCACAAATACCATTGACTGGTGCTGATGGTCGATATGAGTTACTGCCAGCATCCTAGGTATCGACCAAGCACCTTCTTAAGATGTAGGATGTTTCAAGTAGAAATATTTCTGAGTAGAATTTTTTCTGAATAAAAAAATATTATTATCACTATCTTCTCCTCCTCCTGCTCTTTCTTCTTCTTCTTCTTCTTCCTCTTCCTCTTCCTCTTCCTCTTCCTCTTCCTCTTCCTCTTCCTCTTCTTCTTCTTCTTCTTCTTCTTCTTCTTCTTCTTCTTCTTCCTCCTCCTCCTCCTCCTCCTCCTCCTCCTCCTCCTCCTCCTCCTCTTCCTCTTCCTCTTCCTCTTCCTCTTCCTCTTCTTCTTCTTCTTCTTCTTCTTCTTCTTCTTCTTGCTTGCAAGTACACTGGGTGCTTTTGTACCAAATTTCTTCTGTGTCTAGCCACACTTGGCCTAATAAAATATATCCTATCCTATCCTATCCTACTATTCTATATTCCATATTATTCTATTCTATTCTATTCTATTCTATTCTATTCTATTCTATTCTATTCTGTTCTGTTCTGTTCTGTTCTGTTCTGTTCTGTTCTGTTCTGTTCTGTTCTATTCTATTCTATTCTATTCTATTCTATTCTATTCTATTCTATTCTATTCTATTCTATTCTATTCTATATTCTATATTCTATTTTATATTCTCTGTTCTGTTAATTGTTTTCCAAACACACACATTTTTGCTAGCAATTTAGCCTTTAAAAAAAAAAAAAAAAAGAACCCATCACATATAACTGTATCTATTTTGTAAGTGTGAAAAATGCTCATACGGGCCTGGTGGCTCAGCAGACTGATAGCCTTGTGATTAACACCAGCTGCCTGCAATTACTGTAAGTTCGAATCTCACCAGGCTCAAGGTTGACTCAGCCTTCCATCCTTTCTAAGGTAGGTAAATTGAGGACCCAGTTGTGGGGGCAATAAGCTTTGTATAAATATACAAAAGGATGAAGGCTATTGCTGAGCGCGTTGTAAGCCGCCCTGAGTCTTCGGAGAAGGGCGGCATATAAATCAAATTAAAAAAAAAAAGTCACTTTTTTCAGTGCCATTGCAACTTCAGGTGGTCCCTAAACTAACTGTTATAAGTCGAGGACTGCCTGCCTGTACTGTTTCCAACATTTGAGCTCCTGTGGCTGGAGTCGGGACCTCCTCCCACATCCCAATCCAACCCCCGCCGCCCCATATTTCCCCTTGGGTGACCCCTCTTTTCCTTTCGTTCCCGCTCAGGGAGAAGACGCCGAGGGACGCAGCTACTCAACCTTGTCAACCGTCCGGGAAATTGAGACCCAGACCGAGCTCCCCCCACCGCCCCCAACCCCTGTCCCAGAAGATCAGACGGAGGAGAATGAGAAGGAGAAAGAGAAAGCGAAGGAAGACGAGGAAGAGCGGAATGACGAAAACAATATCAAGCAAGCAATGACTCACTTTGTCCAAGAGAATGGCACCCTCCGAGCGAAGCCCACCTCCAACGGCATCTACATCAACGGACGGGGACACTTGGTCTGACGCTCATCCCCCTCTCTGCCAGATGCCCAGATCCAAGCCAGCTCTGAGCCCCCATCCCTAACTGCTTACTGGTGCCTCTTTTTGGGGAGGGGGGCCCAAAGACCTCTAGAGACTCAGGTCCTCTCCTTCTGAGCCACCCGACCGCAGGCTGTCCACCTTCTCCTGAAGGTCCCAAGACTTCTTCCCAAGACTTTGGCCAACGTTAGAAGCCCAACTTCTCCTCCAACGTGAAGATGCTCAGAAGCCAGTTCAGTTTCTTCCCCACCTGGCATGGGCTGCCTCTTTGTGTGGATTCATTTTGGAGTCTTTTCTTTTGGCCAGGGATGATTTAGGGTTGGGTGGGATGGACAAAACGTTGGAGAAGCAGAAGCGAAGATGCTTCGGGTCTCTTCAAGTGACTCGGCTGGGCTCAAGAGGGGCAAACTCATAGAAACTCTTGCATCTTTTATCGTAATTATTCTCCTTTACTGTTGTCGTCGATGGTTCAGATGGCCCTTGGTCCATCTTGGGCTAAAGGTTTTCCCACGGGCAAACTGTGGCTGTTAAAAAGATGAGCTCCATTTTAATTATTATTTTTTATTTGTATTATTAATTACGAACCGGGCAAGGAATATTTCCACTGTAAGCTTCAAAGACTTTCCAGAAACTGCTGAAGAAAATCTCTGGAGACATACAAACTCCCCAAAAGAAGTCCTGTTTCCAGACCTTCTACTGAGTCAACGATATTGAATAACGTGCTTCTGCTCGCCCCGATGAAGTGCATCATGGGTCCAGTGGTTCTCCAACTCCTAAAGCTGTTTCTCAACCTGGGTAGCTTGAAGATGGGTAGACTTCAACTCCCAGAATCCCCCAGCCAGCAGCGCTGGCTGGGGGATTCTGGGAGTTGAAGTCCACCCATCTTCAAGCTTCCAAGGTTGAGAAACACTGGTTTAGAGAGTCCAATAAATGTCCAAGCAGTGTTGTCCCACCATTGGGGACCAAGAAGGCTGGGCCACCCTATCACCAGTGAACTTCAAGTCCCCCCATCTCATGTCTTTAATTTGTATTTCTTAGCATGCTGTAACTATGAATATTTCTAGAGCTAACCAACAACTATGGAAATACGTATGCGTGATAAGTGTGCGACCCTGAGGACAGATTTTGTGAGGGAGTCTGCATTTTGACCAGTGGCTTCTCAATCTCAGCAACGGGAAATAAGGTGGACTTCAACTCCCAGAATTCCCCAGCCATTATGAGAGTTCAAGTGCACACCTCTTAAAGCCGGGTGCTGAGGGATTCTGGGATTTGAAGTCCGCCCATTTGCTATTGAATTTGAAGTCTATCTTAACAAATTTAAGACTTGTGAACTTGTGAGCAAATTTAGCAATATCTTAGCAAATTTAAGATTTGTGAGCAAATTTAAGACTTGTGAGCAAATTTAAGACTTGTGACTCCCAAAATCCCCTAGCCAGCATGCTTTAAGAGGAGTAGACTTCGACTCCCAGAATTCCCCAGCATAGCTTGGGAATTCTGGGAATCGAAGTCCACCCATTCTTAAGCCAAGGTTGAGAAACACGGATTTTGAGTTTTAGGGGGAATTGCAAAACTGCTTCAAGTTCTCTTTGGAGAAAGTTTCTTAAACATCGACCCTTCTCTGATAAGTATATTTTAAATCTTCTTGTGCCTACTACACCTCATTTTTTCATATTTGCAAAGAGTTGCAACTGGGCTGAGCAGCTGCCTCCTTTACAAAACTTTCTGTCCCAAAGTGGGGGTGAAGTCACCCACAATATCTGGGGTGGGGCGCAGGAGTGGGATTCAAAAATTTTAACCACCAGTTCTCTGCCCGGTGGCTGGTTGGGCGCGGCCATGGTGGGCGTGGCCTACTCAGCCTCCTGCACCACGGGGGGGGGGGGTGGCATTTTCGCCCTCCCCAAGCTCCTGAGGCTTTCCTAAACCTCCGGCAGGGTGAAAACAGCCTCCCCAGGCTCCGGAGGCCCTCCAGAGGCCGGAAACAGACCCATTTCCAGATTTCCAGAACTTCCGGGAGGCCCGTTTTTCGCCCTCCCAGAGCCTCTGTGCAGGCCTTGCACTTACCTGGCATCCAAAACGGTCTGCGTGGAGACCCCTGGGAGGGGCGGGGTGGGGTGGGCGGGGCCAGACAGTCCTTGCAACTACCAGTTCGGCGAACCAGATGTAAAATTAGCGTCCGGTTCCCCGAACCGGCTGAATCCCACTCCTGAATGAGGGAGTGACAAATTTGGTGCACCACAGCTCTGAAGGCAGGATCAGAACTGGTATCGGGGTTTACGTATCAGTTTTCGACCTTCTGGGTCCCAGTTTTGGACCTTCTGCCTGGACCCTGGTTGGGTCAGTGGTGTAGGGCATGCGATAATGTGAAGACCGACCGATCTACATCTCAGATTGGCTCATTCAGACATGCAGTTCCAGGAACTGCCACAACTGAGCTAACAAACAGAAATCCCCCCCCCCCTTCAAACCTGTTGCAAACTTAGCTTTGTCTTTAGCCTCTGTGTGAGTACAGGCACAGTCCTCGACTTATGGCCGCCCTTGAGCTCTCCACATTTATGTTGCTAACTGAGACATTGGTTTAAGTGAGAACTTTTGCCCCGTTTTACGACCTTTCTCGCCGCGGTTGTTAAACGAGTCGCTGCAGTTGTTAAGCTAGGAACCTGGTTGTTAAGCGAATCTGGCTTCCCCATTGAGTTGGTTTGTCAGATGGTCGCAAAAGGGGGTCATGTGACACTGCAGCCGTCATAAATACAAGTCAGTTGCCAAGCATCCCAGTTTGGATCAGGTGAAGGCTGCAACAGTTTTAAGTATGAAAAATGGTCCTTTTTTCATTGCCGTTATAACTTGGAATGGTCACTAAATGAACCTTTGCAAGTCAAAGGCTACCTGTAATATGTTAATGAATCAATAAGCTACAGAAGTGAACTTAAACGGGCTGGGTTTAACACAAAGTGCCAAAGAAGAATTAAGGTAACCACAAAATTTTTACATCTTGTGTACACACAGGTCTTTAACTGACCCCTTTCAGCATGTTGGACAAATCCAGAGAGCGAGATGGATGTTGAAAGAAAAATCTCCAAGGGTCAATTTGCTAAGAAATCTTGATTTTCCTCGAAACGCGATCAGAGAATTTGTGGGGCCCCAAAAACTTCTATTTTAATTTTTTTATTTTTCCTCCTCCCCTTCCTCTGAATCTCACAACTATCGCAACGGGACTCTTTGGAAGTGAATTCGACAGACTCCAGACTTTTAGAAGCCTTTTAAATATGTATTAATATTGTTATTAGCTTTTTTTTTTTTTTTTTTTAGCGTGAGGAAATGAGCAACTGCCTTTCTACGATCTGTAAATATCTTTGTACATTAGGGGGGGAAAAGCAACGTATGTGTGTGCCTCCCTGTATTGTCTGCGTGTGTGCACGCGTGTAAAATACTCTGTAAGTGTGTATAGAGCGGGACTTTGGGGTAGGCCTTGTCAGGTGTAATATGCACTGCTGGTTTTTGTAAATAAATTGCACTTTTGCCATCCCAGAATTCTGCTTTTTTGCTAAGTCTTGCAAATCTTGAGTTTTTCTCTACTTCTATTCTAAGCGACCCATCACAGATAAATGTCAAAAATAATAGCCCTGTATCAGTGGTGGGATTCAAGTAATTAAATAATCGGGTTTTTTTTTTAAATTTGATTTATATGCCGCCCTTCTCCAGGGACTCAGGGCGGCTTACAATGCATTAAGCAATAGCCTTCATACTTTTGTATATTTATACAAAGTCAGCTTATTGCCCCCACAAACTGGGTCCTCATTAGGTTCTCTGCCCTAATGATTTCTTCCAACAATCAGTTTTCCAAATTGCTCAGAAAGTTAACAAACGGTTCTCCCGAAGTGGTGCGAACTGGCTGAATCCCACCACTGCCCTGTATGTATTGGAGAAATAGGAAGGCTCAAATTTGATTTTTTTTTGGGTGATTCCCTCAATTTTTGCACAAGTCCAAAAAGTGTAAGTGTGCAAAATGTACACATTTCTCTCAGGCTGACGTGTCGGTTCCGGAAGTCTGGGAGTTGAAGTTCACACATGCTAAAATGCAGAGGTGGGTTTCAAAAATTTTTACTACCGGTTCTGTGGGCATGGCTTGGTGGGCGTGGCAGGGGAAAGATACTGTAAAATCTCCATTCCCACCCCATTCCAGGGGAAGGTTACTGCAAAATCCCCATTTCTTCCAGATCAGCTGGGACTCGGGAGGTCGAGAATAGATGGGGGCGGAGCCAGTCAGAAGTTTTACTATCAGTTCTCCGGACTACTCAAAATTTCCACTACCGGTTCTCCAGAACTGGTCAGAACCTGCTGAAACCCACCTCTGCTAAAATGGCCACGGTTGAGAAACACTGGTGTAAAAAGCAGGGATCTCCAACCTGGGCAACTTGAAGACTTGTGGACTTCAACTCCCAGAAGGATCTTTTCTAGAAAGCCTCCAGAATTCTGGGAGTCGAAGTCCACAAGTCTTAAAGTCACCAAGGTTGGAGACTCCCTGGTCTAAAGTGTTATCACAAGTTGGTAAATCACACGGCTGTCCTTAGAAGAACATGTGACGGCCGTGGCCAGGGGGGCTTTCTATCAGGTTCGCCTGATTCGCCAGTTGCATCCCTTTCTGGATCGGGACTCCTTGCGCACGGTCACTCATGCCCTCGTCAGTTCCCGCCTGGACTACTGTAATGCTCTCTACATGGGGCTCCCCTTGCAGAACACCCGGAGGCTCCAACTGGTCCAGAATTATGGGAGCGTCATGGCGCTCCCATGTAACAACTCTCCTGCGCGAGCTGCACTGGCTCCCGGTGGTCCTCCGGTGCGCTTCAAGGTGTTGGTGACCACCTTTAGAGCGCTCCATGGCTTAGGACCTGGATATCTACGAGACTGCCTTCTGCCACCGATAGCCTCCCACCGACCAGTATGCTCCCACAGAGAGGGGCTCCTTGGGGTGCCGTCGGCCAGACAATGTCGACTGGCGACCCCCAGGAGGAGAGCTTTGTGGAATTTGTGGTGGGTGGGTGGGTGTTTGGGGCTTGTTATGTGTGTTGGGTTTTCGGCTTCGTGCTTCTAGGAGCAATGTGTGTGATCGCAGCTGTTTCTTCCTTTTAACTGCCAGTGGGGGTGTGAACTGCCAGTGGGGGGTGGGGAACGAGCTCCCCCCGGAGATACAGACGATTCCGAGTTTACGTACCTTCCACCGGGCCCTCAAGACTTTTTTATTTCAACAAGCCGGGCTGGCCTAACTTCTCCAATTGTTAATTTTAATTTTAATTTTAAATGGGATATTTTAATTGTTGGGCCAAATTATTTAATATATTTCAAACTGCTTTTAAATTTCTGTATTCTATGTTTTTTACCTTTGGCTGTTCACCGCCCTGAGTCCTTCGGGAGAAGGGCAGTATATAAATTTAAATATAAATAAATAAATGCGCACACCCAAGTACCTAGTAGCGCATTTCTGCCCATGGTTGAAGGTCTCCTGTAAGATCACAAGACAATTGTTCAGACGTATAATTTCCTCTGCCACCCACAAAGATCATAGAAAAACATCCACCTCAACCCTGCTTCAGCCAACAGGTGGAGAAGCATGGGTGTTACCGTCAAGCTATAGGTCTTAAGTCATCCAACATTGAATAAAAACCCATTTGTGAAGGGATCAGGTAGAGTGACAGAGTTGAAAGGGACCTCAGAGGTCTTCAAGTCCAACCCCTTGCTCACGTAGGAGGCCCTATCAGACAAGTGGCTGTCTGATCTTTTTCTGGAAAGCCTCCAGTGATGGACAGTCACATTCACAACTTCTGAAAGCAAAGCCATTCCGCTGGTTAATTATTCTCATTTTCAGAAGTAACAGAAGTTGGAAGGACCTTGGAGGTCTTCTAGTCCAGCCCCTTGCTCAAGCAGGAGACCCTATACCGTCCCAATCAAATGGCCATCCAGTCTCTCCTTGAAAACCTCCAGTGATGAAGCACCCACAACTTCTGGAGGCAAGCTGTTCCACTGGTCAATTGTTCTCACTGTCAGGAAGTTTCTCCTTATTTCCAGGTTGAATCTCTTTAATAATCTTCCACGTGTTACTTCTTGTCCTCAGGTGGTTTTCTGGCCCCCTCCCTATAACCTCCTCACCGGTTGCAGGTGCACTTCCTGCCATCCACAAGCCAAGCTAAGTGGGACAAATCAAAAATGCAAGATTGCAAAGCCATTCAGCGTTGCCTTCGGAAGTTGTGGGGAGCTTCATCCCTGGAGGCTTTCAAGAAGAGACTGGACTGCTACCTCTCAGATATGGTGTAGGGTCTCCTGCCGGGGTGGGGGGTTGGACTAGATGACCTACAAGGTCCCTTCCAACTCTGTTAATCTGTAATTAATCCTTCACCCTCCAAGCGTTAGCTTGTGACACGGAAAGGAGCCGTTTGCTAAAAGCTGTTAGCTTGTGCTTTGTGGTTTTGGAGATGCTGTGTAGGGGAAGTTGTGTTTGGAGACAAGCTGAACTCACTTCCTGTCAGGTCTGAGTAAGAACAGAACAATTTTTAATGAAAAAAAAAAGGCACAGATTTTCTACCTTGCTCTCATCTACCACCGTAGCAACCTTCCAGTTGGCCGAGAACCACATTTCTGGTGGCCCCGTAGTTGCAAAGACAGATCTCCCAACCTTTCTGAAGGACCTTGGATGTGACGAGCGTTGGACACGGAGATTAGAATGAATTTAAGGAAGCAGAAGATCGCCATGGGCCAGTAAATGAGTTCTGGAGAGGCAGGAACTCAACCATCGACAGGTTTCTCCTGAAGACCGATGGACTTGGGCCCAACCTTGGGAGGAGAAGTTGATACGAGGGTGTAAGGGTTGAGGGAGAGGAGGAGAGCAGCCTCCTTCGCACCCATGTCGCTGGCCATG